ACAGTTGTCTGAGAAAATAGCCTATACATTTATATTAAAAAGTATTGATTTATTACTAATAAATAATCTCTACACTTGTATAGTAGTACATCTACTCAATGGATTATCAGCTCAGTTTTCATTATAATCGGGTTGGTATGATGTCATTATCATGCTATTGACCTTGAAGATACAGAATTTTGGACGAACAGATTATGAATTGTATCAAAATGATTACAACATTAATCGGTTTATATTCTTGAAGAGTATTTATTTAATCTGTCAGATAATCTGGATCATAGTCATATGAACTTTTTGGCAAGACTATAATTTGTGAACGAACCAATCAGGTATAAGATAATAGATCTCGGATTTTGGCACGAAATTCATTTATCCATTTGACTAAATAGAGTTTTGGCATTATAGTTGATGTTAGTTCGTGATGAAAACCCTAAATCTAATTTCTAACCTTAACCATCAATTGAAAATTATAATACTAATTCCTCATATTGGTTTATAACCTTTATTTGGTCCTAGTTATTGGGTGGACACTCTCAAGATCACTCTAGCACTGCTCAAATGTAGTCCATAAATTATAGTTTCACTAACTGTTTATGTTTTCAGTCACCACTAAATAGCCTTGATTTGTGGTATGGCAACTCGGAATGATGTACGTACGTACGAAGTTCTACATTGCTGATGACTGACAGCCTTGATTTGTAAAACTGAAGCATTTTTTGGGCGAACTGATTCTATTTGACAAAGTGAGTTCAAGGTAAAGGCTCATGATTGAGATTGGCTTATAAAAACTAAAGTTAGGGTACCTGATGTGAGGTAGTGTGGTATGAATAGATTAGTGTTAGACCACTTAACAATCTCTACAACTCCATACTGATAATTACCATTGCTCACTACTGACTAGTTTCGTGAAGTAATTCTCCGAGTTGTAGTGAAAAGCCGTGACGAGAGGAATTAATCCGTATCAGGTGAAAACAAGTATCTATCTCAGACAATTGAGGATGATCGCACAATTTCATGGACGGCAACTCAGTAGTCTACAGGTTAAGTGTTCGTGTGCGAGACCGAAGGTCATGGGTTTGATTCCGGTTTGTGGGATCGTGGATGCACGCTGCTGAGGAGTCCCATGCGAGGACGAAACGGTTGTCCAGTGCTTTCGGATTTTTAATGGTGGTCTAACATTCATCGATTACATGATTTTAACCAAAAATAAACCAAAGTCTAACCCTCATTCTCACTACAGTAGTAGTGAAATGGTTTCAATAGTCAGAAATCATGCCAAGATTATTATCTGTTAGTAGTAAGGGATGAACTAATTATCCAGATCAAATATAATAACTATCTTCATTGACATAAAGGTCTATAAGGAAGAGTATTTGCCTCATATATGGTTTGAATTCATATGGAAAAATTCTTTGGAAATAGTGCAGTATAGGGATCAACTTAAAACAAACGCAACAAACATTCAGTTAGTTCTTAGACAATCAAAAACTGCTTTTGTAAGTGAATAGTTTATGAAAAAAACAATAACATTACAAAGTGCAAGTACATTCTAATTAATTAATGAATCTACTTAACTCTTACAGGTTAATCTACTATTAGTAAAGTGAGTAATAGCATAAAATGTGATCCTTATGGATGTAGATTATTCGTTCTTTAGAAACCTTAAGAGGATGGAAATAGATTTCCAAGTCATTATAATGATCTTAGCTACAGATTTCATCATGAACTGACATCAGTAGTCCAAAAATGATTTGTAGTTATATGGACAAATAAATTTGGTGTAAAAATCCAAGACATGATAGCTTACATTTGATTAGCTCATCTATAATGTATAATGATACCGCATCAATGCTTATATCAGGGTTAGGACTTAAGTATATGTTATTCATCCTGAATTTTGCACATAAACCTAACAGCCGTTTCCTCCATATTGACTAGTTCCTCTCTAATACATGATTTTACCTATTCTACCGGGATAACTTGGATATTAAGACAGAAGAATATCAAAATTACCTTGACGAATTTACTACTGGAATAAGTTTTTTGGATTATTCTTGTCCTTTACTAAAAATTATTCACTGTGTTCACCTGCTTTCTAAAGAGCTGAAAATAGTAAAGTACTCTCAACATCATATAAAGTCGTTCAGTTTCCTCTTCATACTTCAGCTTTATCATAAACTGAATTCTGTACACAGCCAGGACGAATAACAGTCTGCTAAAACCAATATATATATATATATATATATATATATATATATATATAATTTTTGTACACTGACTCGGCTGCTAATTACAGCTTTCCATTCATTCCATTTTCACATTCATACAACAGGCTGGACTTATGTATAGGAAGCGCGTGTACCAGTACCTAAATAGGATGACCGCAAAACATATAACAGCTGCCTCTAGATGGAACTCTATGTGGAATTGTGAATATCAAAATTTAAAAGGTAGTCAGGTTTGCTTAATTCAATCAAAAGATATATATATCCTTCAAATAATAGACTAAACATATATTTGTATAAATGTTGTGCACTAGTGAAAAGGGAGAAATAAGATACTACCATAATGAAAAAGTTTATACAGAAAACACGTCTGGCTCGTCGTAAGTAGCCGAGTCAGAATCTTTCTGTTAATCATTAAACAAATAATTGCTGTCAAATGCCCTGGTATGGACGAGGGTGGAGGATTCAGCTCTCGAAATGCTCTAACATGGCCACGTTCATACAACAATTGACAAGGAAGTCCTACTCACTGCCTTCTCGCGACATTACTGTTGTTTACAAAATTGAGAAAACAAAGAGCGAATATCCGGCGCTTCAACTGGGTTGGTGGGTAACAAGGATCCATCTAGGGGAGTTGGAAAACCCTCATTCCAAATCAATGGTGCACATGGGCTCCAGTGTCCTGATGGAACAAATAGCGTGTGAACTTATTGTTGGTCACCGGTTACCATGGAACTGCATCTCCTTACGTTTCTCCATTGCCTTATGGATCAGACCTTTAGGTCGAATGCTCCGGGTGTGGTCCCCTAAGAAAACCACCTACTTCGGTTTGGGAACCCGGGTAGTATCACAGCCAACACACAAATTAAGTGACTTATGTGACGAATATGTATTCAGTGCCCCTTTCCATCAATATTTATGTGTTCAAATAAATAACTTCTGGAGAAATAGACAGTTCTCTAACAATTATTTATTAATATGTTCAGATAATTTACCAAAAGTTTACAAGATTCATGAACATTGCAGATCTCCTAATATTTCTCAATGGTAACATTATTTTTAGCATCACTCAAAGTTAATGATGCAGTATAATTTCACCTATCAGCTAATGAGCTCATAGAATGTTGAAATCAAGAGTTTATCACTAGAAAACTAATGAGACTTATAATTGTATGTTGCTATTTTATGAAGCTTATGGCTTTTTTCAAAGTTTATAAGTTTTCTTCTACTTTGACGTGACTCATCTATCCAAGAGACCGGTATATATATTTGGGTTGTTTGTTAAGTAATTAGTATTTTTCACTATTTCCCCAATTATTTATTTGAAGATACTTCAAGAAATTTAGGACTCGTCAGCTGGATGTACCTGCATCCCATAGTTCATGTACACTCCGGAACTCGAACCCAGTCCCGTTTGCTTCAAACACCATCATAGCTTGCTATAAACATTAACTCTGAGATGAAGGTACATCCAGCTGACGAATCCCAAAATAAGACGGAACGCATATCCTAGATTCCACTGCTAGCCACTATCCATCTTGGCCTTAAAAAAAGCTTCTACCAGGAGATTCACTTGTTGACTTAGAATATGCTGATGACATAGTTCTATTTGGTGAGGACGCTGACAAAATGCAGTCTTCTGATCACTCTAAGCAACAATGCAAGCATGTTCGGAATGCGATTCTCTCCCTCGAAATACAAAATGTTACTTCAGAACTGAGTCGCATCAACACCCCAACTAATGATAGGGACTGAAGTAGTTGGGCGTGTCAACCACTTCACTTATCTTGGAAGTCTCATCAGCCCTTGTGGTCTGGTGTGTGACGAAATCTCAGCACGGATACAGAAGGCTCGACTAGCTTTTGCCAACTTGCGTCATTTATGGAGTAGGCGAGATATCCGTCTATCAACCAAAGGACGTGTTTACTGCGCAGCAGTTCGTTCCGTCCTACTTTATGGCAGTGAAGTAAGATTATAGAATACTTGTAGGTTACTAGTATTCGATCATAGGTGTCTTCGAAATATTGCTCGTATATCCTGGGACCATCGAGTAAGTAATGCAGTAGTTGGAAAACAAGTACTAGGTAAGAATGGCAAATCAATTGATGTCGTAGTGAAACTTCATCAGTTGAGATGGCTGGGACATGTGTTAGGTATGCCCAACCACCGACTGCCTCGAAGAGCGATGTTCAATGGTATAGGAGTAGGTTAGAAGAAAGTTAGGGGCGGCCATACCAAAACATGGCACAAGTCCTTGAAGTCACTGACAAATGGACTGAGTCATGTTGGTAGGTGTAAACTACCTGGTTGGGATCCGCGAGATGATAGCAACCGATGGTTAGAGACCCTGAATGACATGGCTCAAAATCGTTTGCAATGGCGCAGGTGCATACACTCTTTGTGTTCTCCCAAATTCTAATCTGAATTCTTCATGTCCCTTTCGTTTTTTCTTCCCAAATTTATTTCACTGTATTATACTCTTTAAATAACATCTCTAAACCCTAATCTTTCCGATTATTGCTTATACTCTTACCGCCTCTACCACTACGGGATTCGAATCAACAACTGCATCTCTGTGCTAATGTGGTGTGGCATCTCAAACTGATGTACGCACGTACGAAGTTCTACGTTGTTACTGAATGACTTTTTTAAAAAAAGCTTGTGACTTAAGGTTATAATCGAGGCAATCCACATAGGATGCACATATGTGAACAAGAAACTGATCAATTGCAATCCTAAATAACAATGGGAAGATACAAGTAAACAACAACAACACCAAGTGAATGTTGTAATAAATAATCTAGAAATTCTAATGAAAATTCATTAATTTTTCAATCAAATAGGAATATAAACCTTAAAATGGAAGTTTTTTTTATTATTAAGACCTCTTGGTATTGAATTCATTCCATAATCCATACAATACAAAATTGGAAATAATCATAACTTTTAATTCTTTTCTTATAACATCATAAAATGTAGAAGAAAAAAAAAAGAAAAACAAAGAAAGAAAACACAATCAAAGAAATTCTAAACAAAATTGATTAACAAAGTATGACAGAGTAGTAAAAACATTAGCAACAACAACAACAACAAAAACAAAACATTTAGAAAAAGTACATAGCAATACATGAATCAGAATGTACGGTGATAAAAACAACATAAGAATACCCCCCCACACACACACACACATTTTAATGCTAATAGGAATGAAATACCTAGTATAGATTTGATTCATATGACTTCGGACTGTATTATTTCTATGTATGGATTAGTGATACTATAGAGATATAGTCTAATTGTTTAAACTTAAGTAAACTAGAGAGTGAAAGGGTTCGAACTTACAACCTATTGATTGGAAGTTGAGTATTACATTTTAATCACTTAAGCAATTATAATGTGAATAGTTTATATGTGTATTTGTGTATATGAATGTGTATTGAAATGTACTGGTAAGTTTGATTTAACGATGAAAACAGAGAGAGATAGAGAGGGAGAGAGAAAAAAGCGACTAGACATTGAATAAAAACTATGTAGATAAGGCAACAACAACAAAAACAACCCAGGAATGAGTGAAGAAAGAATGATATAAGAAAAAAAACTATTCCTAAAAAAGAAGACGACTATACTTAACAACAATCATTCATTCTATTATGAAAACAGTAAGACAGTAAGATAGTACGGAATATGACAAAGAGATGATTCTGTCGACAGCATATAAAACTTAATTACTAATGAATCTGAAATGAACAGTAAAAATTGACATTTAGAAATTATACTCTACAAATAATCTACTTTAGGCGTCGTTATTATCATCATCATCATCATCATCACCACATATATCCAAGACATCAAAAGATAATCGAATTAAATAATATAAATAGATTTCATAGGAAATATCAAATGAAACTGAGTAACAAAGTATTCTATTTCAATATTATTCAATTTACCATTGTTTTGAATTTGAAATTACATCGATGATCTTCTGGATGATGATGCCTAGAACAAAACCATCTTTCACATCTATAAATAAAGAGAGAGAGAGAGAGAGAGAGAAAAAAGAGAAGAGTATGAACAAGTTTAAGAAACAATAGTAGCTTTTAATACAAAAGTTGATTACTAAGGTTATTGATAACCATTTGAATGTTCAGTAGGTATATTGTTGTATCTAAGACATGTGAATTTTTCCACTTATTTAATGTGTGAATGTCACTAACTAGAGAGTAATTTTTTAATAGAAATTTCGCTTCACGACCTGGCTTTCATCATATTTATGTTTTTTTTTATCCAACAATGTTGAATATCTGGGCTACCTGTTCCTCCGATCCAGATATTTCATCAAGTTATCTGTTTTGTTGTTTGTTTTAGCACATCATTATGTCTATTGTGCTCACAATCTATTCAGGCGCGTTTATGAAAAGTTTACGACCTTTCGCTATACGGGATACAAAAAGGTACAATCAGCGACATCATGGTGGCTGGCAATATGCATTGAAACGAATGAACATTAATCAAATGTGGATTACCGAACTCCTAACATCTAACTGGTCATCATTCAAAATTGATCGTCACAATCAATCAAGATATAATAAAAGGAAACTTTTTGAAATACTTTATGCTGAGAATTCTATGTTGTACCAAAAATATAATGTTGAATAAAGCTTCTAATAATAATAAAAAAACTGTGCTACACTGACCAACAATCTTTATAGCAAACAGTTGTGGATAACTACTATTGTGGTGTGTGCTACTGATGTCGACAGATATAAGTAGTATGTATAATTAATCGAAAGTGGAATGCCTGGTGGAAGAAGATGTAAAAGAAGATATTTGGTTGTCACCACTGGTACTCTCGTTCACTACACTACTACAGATGCTTGAAATAAAATCTGTAGTGAAAATTACAAGTGCTATCCGCTAAATAAATGGCCTTAAGGTCTAGGGTAAAACTGTACTATATCAACGGCCTAGAGTAGCCAATCGAAAATTCAACTAGCCGATATTACATATCATGGCGAATTCAAAACGTTAATGTAAATAGTTTGTTGTTGGAAATTACGATTTTAATTATATTTCGTGTTTTTAAAAAATGCATATGCGCCACAAATCATTCAATTTGTGCGAGGGCTTGGATACTGTCTGGGTGCCCAAAATGAAACAGATGGTTTCCTTGGTAAGCCACACCCGGAGCCTCCGATCTAAAGGTCTGATCCACAAGGCAGTGGAACAATGTAAGGAGATGCAGTTCCATGGTAACCGGTGACCAACAATAAGTTCACACGCTATTTGTTCCATCAGGACACTGGAGCCCATGTGCACCATTGATTTGGAATGAGGGTTTTCCAACTCCCCTAGATGGATCCTTGTTACCCACCAACCCAGTTGAAGCGCCGGATATTCGTTCTTTGTTTTCTCAATTTTGTAAACAACAGTAATGTCGCGAGAAGGCAGTGAGTAGGACTTCCTTGTCAATTGTTGTATGAACGTGGCCATGTTAGGGCATTTTGAGAGGGAGTGTCGACTCTCCTCACTCGTGGGCCATACCAGGGCATTTGGGGTCGTCTGATTTACTAATTGTGAGGTTACTCTAAAAATTGCTTAGACCTATCTATATAGTATAGTTTCATCAGTTCTAGATTGTTGATGATATGAAATACAAAGTTTCAAATTGACGATTACTCAGTTCGATAGAATTTCTGTAATTTATAGTAATTGAATTAACCAATAGACAGTTGAATAAACTTGAATTTGATTTTGATTCTTCTTACGTTTCTATAAAGAAAAATCTTCTAGACAACCTTGGACTTATTCTACTTCGAGAGTAAAGAACAAAGTTAAACTGATAGAACCGGTCTCATTCATTCTATTCAATTAAGTAGGAGTTGCAAATAATTAGTTTACTGAATAAAATATGTATTTATCATTGAAAATAGTGTAGATAATCACTGAGTAAAAATTTCTTAGAAATATTTGAATAGCTTAAAACTCATTGAACAATTTGTAGACGGTCATTAATTAGAACAACCTTAAGACGTCGGGAATTTATGATAGACAAGGTCAATCGTCCGATTGTCTGCTTAGATGTATATCTAAGGTCACTATTATTACTATTATTACAATTATTAGTGAGATTATGTCATTCATGGTTATTTTAAGAAAGAGATAATAGTAAATATTTTTAAGAAGCCGTGACTAGTCAAGTTCAACCGGGTCTGTTGTGAAGATAATAACTTACTGAATACAATAGTGGACGGTGGAGCAATTTTGTGGATTGATTGGAATTAGACATTAGCACTGTTGGATGCCGATTTAGCAGTCTAGAGGTTGAGCATTCGCGCGCGAGATCGAAAGTTCTGGATTAAAGTCCCGCGAGCGGGATCGTAGATGCGCACTGCTGAGAAGTCCCACAATAGGACGAAACGGCCATCCAGTGCTTTCAGGTTTTCCATGGTAATTTAGCTTTAATCAACTCATGAATTCAACTATTAAATAGATTTCAGTTTATTTATACTTCGTTAACTGAAAAAAAACAATAGAAGATAAACCTTTGAAATGTCAATTAATTCTTCCGTCTGTTAGTCAATCAACTATACACAATAGGTGAATACCGAAAAAAATAAAGAATTTACATGTCCAGGTCAAATGATTTAAGAAAGAAGGTAAAACAAAGAGGATAGATGAAACTCTTATCATGATATGATACTACTACTCTATAAATATAGTTAATGTCTGTCCATGGGGAAAACTTTGTGTCAAAAAAAATTAAATAAAGAAGTTTTGATACCTTGGTGAATAACGATATAGTAAATAAAATGAATAAGATGATAAAGGTATATTGGAACAAACGAACTAGTGAGAAAATATCTATGTTAACTGAACTTTTAAAAAGGAAAGGTTAATCAATTAACAGAATGAAAAAAAGCAGATAGTTGACTTCTATTGATACCCGTATCATCAAACAGGAATTACGAGAATGCAGTGGTATGATGTTTCTCTCTCTCTTTCTCTAGTCCCATTATCGATTAGTTCGCTTATATTGTTAATAGGACAGGTAACTTCACCCCGTTGCACAAGCAGGTGGCTATCAGAACTCAGTAGTTAAGTGGATAACGAGATGGCGTTTAAAGCGAACGGTACTGGGTTCGAGTCCCGGAGTGAACATCGACTCCGGGATGCAGGTATATCCAGCTGACGAGTCCGAAATAAGACGAAACGCGCGTCAAACTGGATTCCACTGCTGGCCACTGTCCATCTTTGCTTTAAATAAACTTGTGACTTAAGGCTATATCGAGGCAATCCGCACAGTATACACATATGCTAATATGATACTGATCAATTGCAATCCTAAATAACAAGGGGAAGATACAAGTAAAACAACACCAAGTGAATTTAAGATATTAGAATTTATTGACCCTCAAGCTCCCTAAAACCCAGTGTCCAATTAAATATCTATTGCACGTCTATTCAACCATGAATCCAAATTCATACAGTAATATGCCACAAATGTTTGACCATACAACACAGGAAATTATAATATGTACAAACTTAGTTGTCAGTGTTACAAAATCGGAGTGATAGAAATCCTGGATGTGTGGTCATAGATGCCCACTAGGACGAAACAGCTGTACAGTAATTTCCAGGTTTTCAATGTTTGTTTAAAATCAGTTCGTGATTTAAACTATGAAAATAAATACTTCATGATAAATCTGTGACAATGAGATATGTGACAACGGTTTGAGTTAAACGACAGCTTCGAAACAGAGAAATGTAAATTATAATCTTTCGTATGATAGTCCCACAAGTTATACTTCCACACAGCTAGCCCTATTACATCACCAACTGAGATATGCATAAATGTACGATTACGACTGCCTAACCTTATAACTCACATCAAAATGAAGCATCATTTTATGAGGGAGATACGATATGAAAGGCGCCTTATTGTCAGATCAGGATATATCATTATTATTATTTCCAGACTAAGCTAACGTGAGAATCCATACAGTTTTTGGTTGAGAATACGCAAAAATGGTGGCTTATGTATTTCTAAATAAACATGATGTGGAAGTTGTAGCTGTGAAGTTATTCAAAGGATTGTAAATTGATTAAAGCTAAATATCTAAACCTTATTGGATGGAAACTTATTGGTTGAAAGGCAACGCACTTAACGTGTGACCTAACTGTCCTCGATCCTTAACAGCCTATATCATCTTCTATCGAAAGGTTATATAGTGAATGAGAAATGGAAGTGCGGGCAGACTATTATGAGGAATTATAATATCCACCTAACCAAGGTCACCTCCTGTTAGCAGACCATATTTTAGATTAGATCACGTTCCGCGCAGGAAAATGTCGGGGTGTGGTGATTAGCTAAAACGTAGTCAGACAGATGAAGATTCCAGAATATTCTTGTGCATAGATTTCAAATTTACTAACATTTTTCTTACTGTGATTGTTACTTCCAATTTGCTTTGTTTATTTGAAATACAATCTTATTCTTGTTTAAAAGTCTTCTGAATTAGAGACTAGTTGAGTGAAGTGTCTGAAGAATACTAAGAAATAAGAGTAATTGGGTCATACAAAGAGAGATCGTGGTATCTTCCATGTATATATTTGTCTGAATCACTCCATTATTATGTATATATAGCTATGATTCATGTACATAATTATTTGATTTTTGGGATAAAGTTTCCTACATATTCTAGGTCTGTTTACTTCTATATAACCGATTGGGAGAGGCATAAGGAAGTGTTTGAATCGGACCGAAAATCATAACAATTTACGTTGCTGAAAATCCTTATGCTAGGACGAAACAACTCAGTGTTTCCTGATTTTTAGTGAATCTCTAGCTAAAGACATTTTTCTGAGATGCGAATTACAGTTCAGTAAAAATCTTAAAATATAGATGAGTTGAGAGAACAATGAATCACATAATATGGGACAGAACCAATCCTTACTACTCTCTTTATCTGTATAAATTACATTTACCTGTGCCAAACTCATTAATTACTTGAAGACTAACTAGCTTTGTTCCATATCTAAATGCGTTCTTACTACTTATCACGTCTTTACTATAAGGCGCATATGTTAAAGGAGTAATCATAATAACAGTGACAATAAATACTCTATATTTAATTTTTGTTTATTTAAACACGTAAGCATTAGTACAAGGAGAAACTGTAGGTGGATCCTCCATACCTACCAACCCCAATTAAAGCGCTGGACATTCGCTTTTAGTTCTGTGAATTTTGTAAACAACTGTAATGCCGCGAGAAGGTAGTGAGTAGGACTTCCCTGTCAGTGGTTGTATGCACATAGCCATATGAGAGCATTTCGAGAGGGACAGCGGACTCTTCACACGCCCGGTCGTACTAGTGCATTTGAGGTCAGTCTATCTAATTTTTAAAAGTGGTAAAATTAGTGGCATTTATCAATCCAACCCAACGGTTGTCAAGGACATCTGCTTAGAGCTATACGTATATAATAACTGATATAAGATGAAAACTTTACAGTGTTAACAAACAGTTGGTAGGTGTAACTTCAATATCAGTTGATTAAAATTCCATAATAAGCATTATAATGTAAAATATATTGAAATGTACTAAAGATTGTATTGTTTGTCATATAACATATAACTTACCGACAGGTAAAACCGCAAGCTAATCGGGTTCGTCTATTGCACTCATAACATCTGGACTGATTTGAATGTATAGTTGTATTACAAGAGGAAGAAGAAGAAGAGGAAGATGATGATGGAGGAGACGATGATGATAACGACTGAAGAGAATGTGATGAAGATCTGTCAATGGTAGTATTCGATAAACACATTTGTCGAAAATCATCATTATCATTACAGTTCAAGTTGAATTCTGTTTGTCTGTTATATCGTCTAGTATCATTTAATAACTTTTCAGTAATATTATATTCATTGTTATTTAAATGATTGGAATGACTTTTAGTGATTTGTGGAAGATAATTTTGATCCAGTGGTGATTCGAAAGTTTTGCTGTTAAATATAATGGAAAATTAGATAGAAATTTGTGGAGATTTTAGTATTTTAACAGTTGAAGTTATGAGTCGATACAAGTTCACTAGTAACTAGCTCCAAGATAGATTTCCTGGAGTTCTAGTGAGAAGCTGTGACCAGTGGAGTTCAATCCGTGTTGGGTGGAGATAGTTATCCACCTCAGACAATAGATGAATAGTTGTGCAAGATCATGAATCGACTCAGTGCTTTCAGGTTTTCAGTAACATCCATCAAACTTGTGGTGTGTTAGTTGGTGAACTAATTATTAACTTTTATGATGCATTTCTATAAAGAGATTACTTTTTTGGTCTTTAAGAAAGAGACCACTAGAAGTCAACAATGTAAGACATTTATCAAATGATAACAAATGTGTTTATAACTTTCCTCATAGAGTCTGTATCCAGATGCTGCTCCCAAATACTCTAATATGTATGAGGGTGGGGGAGAGTTCTCTCTCCTTCTTGCAACGAATGCATATTCATAACCTCTTCAGAGAACTCCTACTCCCTCTTTCAACACGTTTTAAAAAAGTAAAAGGAGGGAGCCAATTTCGTGCGCATGAAATAAGTTGTTGGATAAGTAAGATCCAGCTATGGCAATTCGAAAACAGATTCCAAACTAATAGTACAAATAGCCTTTAAAATCTTGTGGGGTGAGAAACTTAAGATTAAAAGTAATGGCGTAGTCTCTTAAGAAAAACATCTAGCTCGCTTTTAGTATCACAGCTCATATATAAATATCGATGATCTTAAATAAAAAGGACAAAGATTATGATTTATGGTTTACTCACTGACTACGCTAATCCTCAAAATTTACAATAACTTTAATATACCTGAGCGGAAACCATACCACGTACTATAATTCTCAAATCAAACTTTGGCAATGATACCTACATATCACGTACTATTTGACAAACTATGACTGGATAGAAAAAGCGGAGAAGTGGTCAGTTTATGACAGTAATTTGGGAAACTGTGCTACGTGAAGCTATCGTTCACATTTCCTCTATATAAATACGGGTTACTTGAAGTATTGTATGTTTGCATTCTCCTAATTGTAAGCTTTTGTTTGGCGCACAAACTATTGTTATATATTCTACTTTTCTCAAGTTATTGTCAATTAATTACGGACCTATCACTTGGTTCTCTTCTAATTAAGGCGTAGTTATTTCTATATTGAGATCTCTTATTTACGTTGATATGTGGTTAAAACTTTGCTTTCTATTACTATTGCATGGAGTTGAATCATCAAATTGCATTGTACAATGGAAATTTGTTTGCCTGCTGTGTTGTTCTGTTCTATTCTGGCTATTAACCAAGTGATCATGAGAAAACGGCATTCCTGATAAACAGACGTTACGATTATCTCAGTCAGTTGAAGCATATCATTGGTCAAAGTCTAGGACACGAGACTGTAGACAAACTAGTAAGTGTGGGGTAGAGAAGTGTTACAGGATTCAAACGATATAGATCATCATGGTCTCTTATTCAATACAGGAGGAAAAAATAGGACACTAACAAAAAAATAAACAGTGGAACTGTACAAAGTTTAACCGTTTTCAAGATATTTTACAAAGAAAGCAATTCGAAATGAACTATTTACTCATGTTGTAAATCCTATGCTTAACTAGTAATTTTTATCAAAATAGAACAATGAACATTTAACTCGTTTTAATTGGCTGCAATTAAACGCAACTAGATTTCGTAATCGTAACAGTCTGATTAGCGACCAATCAGAATGAAGCGGGAATTATTATATCCGCCATCTTTGTAAACAATGGCGGTCGGCTTTCCCCGTTCTGATTTTTCCGGCAGTTTCTTTTGTGTAGCTACACAATTTAATGTTTCAGTGTACTGAAATCCGGAGGTTAGTGTAATACTCTAAGTGTTGTCGCAAGTTCTCATTGAATCAGCCCTGTTTGCTGCGGCTACTCATTCCAGCATGCAGTGCATGTCCGACGTAACAGTTGGAAGTAGTGAATAAAAATTACAACCAGAGCAAAATTCACAACACAATCTAGTTCTTTAATAATAAATACATCATAATACGACAAATTTTATGACTACATGAACGTAGACATGACCGTTATTACACCAGGCGATATATTAGGTTTACGTGGAAACGTTGCGTTTAAATCCACCCTTTTAATTTAATTTGTAATGGTTTTGTATTATCATGTTGTTGATATTTGAGAATGAATTTTGACCAGTCTTATAGTTGGTATATGTTCGTCTTGGGCGTGTTGCCTTGATATTACGATTGTGATACAAGTTTATACAGAATTGATAGAATATGACTACCAGTGAAGTCCACGATGTACATTTCATCTCATTTAGGATTTATTGGCCGGATATGTCAGCATCTCAGAGTTGTAAGGTGTATAACGTATTGGTGTTTGGAACAAAAGGTAGTGGTGTTGTTTTACTTGCATCTTCCCATTATTATATAGGACTACAATTGACCAGTCTCTTACTGGCATATGTTCATCCTGTGCGGATTGCCTCGATATAGCCTTAAGTCACAAGCTTTTTTTAAAGCAAAGATGGATGGTGGCCAGAAGTGGAGAGATACAAGTAAAACAACATCAATTGAATTTAAACTTCACACCATTGCACAAACAGATGGCTATCAGGACTAAATAGCTAAGTGAATAGCGTGATGGCGTTTAAAGCGAACGATACTGGATATGAATCCCGGAGTGAACATCAACTCTGAGATGCAGGTACATCCAGCTGACGAGTCCCAAATAGAACGAAACGCGCGTCCTGTGTTCCACTACTCGCCACTATCCATCTTTGCTTATAATGCTTGTGATTTAAGGCTATATCGAGGCAATACACACAGCATGCAGATATTCCAATAAAAGATTGATCAATCGCAGTCCTTAACATCAATGAGAAGGTTCAATTAAGCGATACCAAATGAATTTAAGCTTCACCCCATTGCATAAGCAAGTAGCTATCAGGATTCAGTAGCTAAATGAATAACATCAACTCTGAGATGCAGGTACATCCAGCTGACGAATCCCATATAGGACGAAACGCGGATCTTGGATTCCACTGCTAGCCACTATCCATCATTGCTTACAAATAGTTTGTGAATGGGTTCAAATCCTGAAGTGAATATATAAACCTTCACATCCAAATACACCCACCAGCTGACAAGTCCCAGGTTCTATCTACTATTAATTGCATTCTATCTATTCTATTTAACCAGTTTATTTTATTTAAGTAATAGACTACTTACGTTGTATATGATGTTCTTCTATTCATAACAATAGTATTATTATTATTATTTGGTATTAAATTAAATAAATATTCATTTGAATGAAATTGATTATTACATAATAATTTCATTTGCATCATTAAATAAAATGAATATGAACAAGGTGAATTGATTAATGATTGAAAATGATTGATAATTAATGGATTATTAATGAAATTAATAGTTGAATTATTCAATAATTGTATGATAGAATTATCACCGGATGAAATAGGAAGATGTGTAATAGTAGTAGAATTGGTAGTAGTATTCAATAAAGGAATAGTATTTGAATTGGAATAGTGTCTATCCAAATGAAAATCATCATCATTGTGAACAATCATAGCAGTTGTCTTATCATTATTACGTGTAGATCTTTTGGCATCAACAATAGTATGGTTATTATTATTATTATTATCATTATCGACTATAACATTTATATTCGGTGAAGATAAATATGATTCTTCTTTCAGAGAAGAAAAGATTGAATTATCTTTCAATTGATCATAGGAAGAATTCATGATAACACTATTGGTACTACTACTAGTAGTAGTAGAAGTAGATGTATTGGTTTTATCAAATAACGAATCAGTTGATTGATAATGTTTAGAAGGTGATTCAATAGTTTTAAATCCATGAATATATTGAAATGAATTGTTGTTTGAATTGATATTATCACATAATTCGTATGAATTGGTTTCTGGTATGTTTAATTGTTGTGTGGAATTCTGAATAGGAAGTAGAAAATAAGAAATCTACATGTTTGAATTTGTATTTACAATTGATTGATCACTCGGTAGTAACCGATTTGTTATTTATGTCAAGTACTTCTAAGATCTAATTGAATTCTATCTACCAAGTTGCAAGCAATTAGTCAATTGATTCGACTAGTGTGCACAATGTTGAGATATAAGGTAATAGCGGTTGGAGGTAGTCGACAGGAAACCCTACACAACCAAGGTTTTGTAGTATTTGTTTCTCATCAGTAAGGTATACTTATAATCTTAAAGGAACTGATCCTCCCTGGTAGATTCGATCCTGTGCCACCAAGGTTCACAATCAGAGATGTTACCATTGAGCTATTACAGCTGCGAATGACCACCCGCAAGACTGAGATATATTTACAATTGATTAACCACTGAATAGTGACTAACTACATGTATGTCGAGTAATTCTTAGTGGTGATTGAGTTCTAACTTGTACACAAACATATGGATAAATGAATTCTGGTGTTTATTTAGAAGAAAAAAACACAACATAACAAACTAATTATTGGTAGTGATGATGATTTGAACATGAATCAACTGGCTTCTCACAGTTATTCGAACTACTTATTAATTCACATTTCAATGTTAACCGGTTTGAAGAGAATCAGAAAGAAATCACTTCTCTTGAAATAAGTTTCGTATTAGTTCGACCTGAGTAAGTCAATTGGAAGTAACACAGGACCTGGTACAAATGTACACCGGTTCAAGTTGTCACACTATATCAGTACTGTGATATGAAACTATCAAGACAAAACCTAGGGTAGCAGTAGTAACAATGGAAGTAGAATATATCAGGCAACATTGAGAGAACTAATGCTTTCTATGAAATCCTCAGTCAGACATAAACAGTGAGCTATTCGGGTAGCGATATAGAAATGAAATATTTAGATTGAATAATCACTAAGTGGTCAGGTAATTAGCGTCATGTTTGTTCCGGATTTTAGCCAAATCTAATTATATCGGTTAAGTTACAATGTGATTAGCCCCCTAACATCAAAACACAGAGCACGCAATGTTAAGTCACATAGATAAGTGGTCAAATCGCGAAGTCGGTAGACAGAATATGATCGGCATTACAGACTAGAACAAACATGACATCGTTTACTCTATGTGTATGAAATCATTTTCCGTAAGTCAGCTTTCTGAAACCGACTAATCCTGTAAAAATGTAAGAGACACATTTTAAAAAAGAAGCTTTGAATTTCACAAAATATTCTTCAGTCACAACTTTAGACATGACACCTTGTCTATTGCTTTCTGATTACAGCTAATAGCTGGGTGGCACTTTTCCATGATTAATATTAAGTCATATTTAAAAAGGTTTGTGTCCTAAGCCTTCAGTTAAATCCAAAAAGCCTGACCTATTTTTTTTCTAAAAAGGAAAGATGATACATTGGGTCAGTCAAAAATCGCCCGAATGACGAGTGCATGTGATTGGTCAAGAAGTGTCTTGAATTTCCAAGGAAGGAGATGTACATCATTAGTGAAGATATATATGTATTATGAATAGGTCAGTACGCATACATATAAGCTCGGTTAGCCCATAAAAAATTCGTCCTCACTCCTGTACAAGGAGCTTGGGTATAAATATCAGTATCAAACACTGAACAACACAACAGTTTTAAGTAATCTAAATTATATCAACCACAAAAAAGCACTTCAAAAACTTACATAACTTGGTGTTATTACCCAACTCAATTGTTGAGGTGGAGTAAACGACTGTTCATAATGATAATAAATATCAGTCTCATCAATATCATTATTATCATAGTCATATAATTGACTTTCGTCCGTTACTGTTGTAGGAAAATCATATAATGAAGGTGATAACAACTGTTCATTGTTATCAATAGCATAACCAAGAACTTCAGCAATTCGATAAATTTCATCATCTGATGATGTGAAACAATTAGAATTAATAGTGTCATCATTATTGTCATTATAGGATTCAAATGAATTCATTAGTAGATTAGTTTCAGTTTGTTCTAATTCATCTGATGCTATTTTAGTTGCATTGACAACAGCTGTTACACATATCGATGGAAAAACGACAGTTGGCGCTGCTGCTGATGATGATGACACGGATGGGTAAGAAGAGGAGGATGACAAGAGAGACAACAATCGTGTATATTCCGTTTCGTCATTATTATTATTATTAGTAGACTGTGATGAAATGTCATTATTGGAATATTTTTGATTGGTTGATGTGCATAAATCATATCTACCTAATGGTCCAGTTCTTAATCCTAGGACAAGAAGTAATAAAGCGCCATGTCCAATATTTACGGTAGACAGAATTGTTTGGTCTGTTAATTCAACACCAGAGTATAATAAGTGTTGGTCGTGAACAGATATATCTAATGATGTTCAGAAAAAAAATAAACGAACGTGAAACAAATTAGCACTTGCAGTAACTCTCAAAGAAACTAAACTTATTTGTTCGTAAAAAAAGGTAGACTAGACAACATGGTGACGTTATTACAGTATCTAGGAGATCCACTCATATTTACAACTTTGAGCAATTTAATTGCCTCTGAAAAATAGGAAATAATTTCAAGATGGATACACGATTCCGGCTACGTATGTATTCTCGTGGATGTGCACTGCTGAGGAGTCCCATAATAGAGCGAAACGGTCATCCACTGCTTCAGGTTTTCCATGGTGGTCTAGCTTTAATTGACTCATGATCTCAACTATTGAAATTAAATTATTTACTTAGAACATTTTTAAGATAAGATACTGTCTGGGTGCCCAAACCGTAGCAGGTAGTTTTCTTAGGGGACACCACACCCGGAGCCATCGACCTAAAAGCCTAATCCACAAGACAGTAGAGCAACATCAGGAGATGCAGTCCCATAGTAGCCGGTGACCAACAACAGGTTCATACGCTATTTGCTCTATCAGGATCCTGGGACCCGTGTGCACCACTGGTTTGCAATCAGGGTTTTCCAACTCCCCAACGTAGACCCTCTGTGTCTACGAACCCGGTTGAAGCGCCGGACATTCGCTTTTCGTCCTGTCAATTTCGTAAACCGTAATGCCGCTAGAAGGCAGCGAGTATTACTTCCCTGGCAGACGCTATATATGTGTGGCCGTGTGAGAGCGTTCCGAGAGGGTGAGCGGACTCTCCCCACTGTCGGCCGAGCATTTGGGGGCGGAATTATGGAAGTTAAGAGCTAATTACCTGTAAAGGCTTTGTAGTTATTGATCAACATCTTGTCACAATCCAAATCTTATTTTCAACTAATCAACGTTGCGCTATCATAAATCTTAGTTATAAATCACTTATGTATGTGATTTGATGAGTTGTTGAACGGATCAAGATATTGTCAAACTTTTAATGACTCGTCCATGCTAGTACTTATAATTCAGCCCTACTACTAAGTTACCATTAAGGATTACTAACCGATATAACTGACAATTCAATATAAAAAAACGCTGCATTACCCCATCGGCCAATGATAGACTTGATCTTCTGACAGTAAAAGGCTAGACTAATGAATTTCATGGCAAGACTATAATTTATAGACGAATCAATCAGGTATAAGATAATAGGTCTCGGATTTTGATGCGAAATTCACTCATCATAGCTTATGTCAGTTCGTGATGAAAACCCTAAATCTAATTCCTAACCTTAATCATCAACTGTAAACCATAATTCTAATTCTCTACACAGGTTCACAATCCTTATTTGGTTATGGTTACTAGGTGGACACTCAAAGTCAATCTAGCATCGCCCAAAGGTCGTCCATAAATTATAGTCTCACCAACAACTATGGAACACTAAAATCGTATGGATAATCAAATCGCTATCGAAACTTTTCTCCTCATTGAATAAATCTCAAAAACCTAACAAATTTGGTATATATGAAACAGACAACTACATAGAATTCAATGACAAAACAAGTTAGCCTAAAATGGAATCTTATCCAAGTACATGAAAAAAATATATCAAAGTTCACAAGCAAACAACTTACTTTTTAAGTAAAATATCCTTATTTTTATAGACAATACACTGTCATGAGGACTCACATTAAGAGGTGTGACTGTACCAGATAAACCACGGACAAATATTAACATAATTTAATTGAAGAAAGCTAAGCACTAAACACTAGATCAACAAACAAAGAATCTTTGATTCATATACTGAATGTGTTTCAGATTGTTTCTTTTTTCAAATAATCATCCTTTCAAGGTTAAAATATTCACCAATCGTGTGAAAATTATGTCCATGACCTTCAACAATAAAACTTAGAATTTTAGATTGTCCAATGATAATTGCTTAATTCAATGTTAATTATAATATGTTAAAAGATTATTGGTTGATAAAATGTATATTCATAATTGTCCAATCAAAAGTCATCGGAAGACCACCCACATAAGCCTAGTCAGTCTGAATAGTCATGTGACCAGGTAGATAGGTCATCAGACATTTATTATTCCATAATATATAGGATAAATATATCGTTGTTTTCAGAATGGAGGTTTATGGAGACTGTAGCAATTTTAATAGTTGAATTGATTAGTTGATGTAAGCTAGATCAACATCGAAAACATGGAAGCTGTTTCATCCTAGTATAGGACACTTCAGCAGTGCGCGTCCAACGATCCCGCTTGCGAGATTCGGACTCAGGACCTTCGGTCTCGCGCAACAAAAGCTTAATCTCGAGACCACTGAGATGGTATCCAATGTTGTTAATGTCTAACTTCCATCGATCCATAAATGACTTCTCAACCATTCATCTATTATCTGAGGTAGATATCTGTCTCTATCTGACACAGATTGGACTCCATTAGTCACGGCTTCTCACTAGAACTCTAATAAATCATCTTGAAACCTGTCACTAGTGAACACATGATGATTATGATCAGAACGGGGTTTATGGAGATTGTAGTAATTTTAATAGTTGAATTTAGTGCTTCCAGGTTTTCAATGGTGGTCGGGCTTACATTGATTCATGAATTCGACTTACTTACGTCTATTACTCCCATTGGTGCATAGGCCGCTAACCATCATTTTCCAACCCAATCTATCCTGAGCCTTCCTTTCTAGTTCTATTCAATTGTTTTTCATTCTTCTAATGTCTGTCTCCATTTCTTGACGTAATGAATCCAACTAAAATATTATTATTTCATAAAGCCGGTTGTTTTTGTCTGTCAAAACAGTTCCGACATTATTACAGTAATGTATGGTATTTTACTTTGAATACATCTTGAGATTGTTTTATTAGTATTTACACATAGATACAAACATCTAACCTAATAAACTCATTTTATATTATTTGTTTAACCCACACGACAATAAAAATTATAAACCCGGATTAAGTTTTGTCTGACGTAACATACAGTGTACATCGTACAATGTACTTTTCAAGGTTTCTGAGTTATTGGTTTCAATGATGTAAACAGTTATGAGGCGTCAATCATTATAATTAACAAGAAATCTTTTTATGTAAAAAAGCTAATATTAACTAAGAATTTTCTAGCTTGTTCAAGTTATAATCAACTTTTGTTTACTGATCCTTTGATTTCTCTACGTACTTCGGATTATGAACAGTTGAACAGTGTTGTTGTAATGAGATTGTCATTAGGTTTTATAATATACAGTTTTATGAAATATATGAGACTGATTTGTAAGTTAATGATAATGGAACTCATCACTATACATCAACTTCATAGACTATGAAAGGGCGTTTGACAGTGTGGACAAGAGAACTTCTTCGACACTATGGAGTTCCTGAGAAGATTATCAACATTATCCGGAGGAACTCATACGATGGACTACAGTGAAAAGTGGTGCATGGAGGCCAGATGACAGATGGATTCCAAGTAAGGACCGGAGTCAGACAAGATTGTTTAATCTCTCCCTTCCTTTTTCATCTGATGGATGACTGGATTATGAAAACCTCAACATCTGAGGGAAAGCACGGAATACAATGGATAGCTCAGAATTGGTTAGACGATTTGGACTTCGCAGATGACCTAGCTCTCCTATCCCATACACACGAGTAAATGCAGATGAAGACAACCAATGTAGCAGCAGTCTCTGTATCAGTAGGCCCCAACATACACAAAGGTGAAAGCGAGATCCTCAAAAACAACACGGAGAATACCGACCCAATTACACTTAATGGCGAAATTTTGGAAGATGTGGAATCTTTCACAAACCTGGACAGCATTATAGATTAACAAGGAGGATCGAACAGTTGTTTTGTGTTCCATATGTTCTGCAACTGTAAGAATGCTGTCCTTGCTTTGCTAATCTGTGCCTTCACATACTCATCAGATCCTCTTTGTTAATCGATAATGCTGTCCACGTACGTGGAATTTTCCACCTGTTCCAGAGTTTCTCCATCAAGTGTGATTGATTTGGTGTTCTCTGTGTTGTGTTTCAGGATCTTGCTTCAAATAACTTAATTTAGATATTTACCAACGATATTAAAGTAGATCCTAATTAAAACCAATATCCATCAAACAAATGTTTACTGTCTCAATTTATTAACGCAGTTTACAGTTCTATGACTGTTGGGGAGATAAGTCCTAATCTCCTGATTGTTAGGGAATAGGGCTAAGTTCACACATGTGACATGGGACGTTTTTTTTATTGAGAATCCTGAAATAGTACAAAAGTCACGCGATTCAAACAGGGTATTTATGTCATTTTCATCTATTAAGCTTAAGTTAACAGTTTTACATTTAGAAGGGCTGTTCACATGATGAACATAAACTTTAATACACGTGATATAACATCCACTGCCATAGAAAGTTACACACATACAGTAAACCTTCACTATACTAACGTCCCTGAGCGACCGTTGAAGTGACTTAGAGTAGTTTTATCCACTTTATTCAATCAGAAAACCGGTAACAAAGAGTTACGACGGTCTAAATGATATCATCAACAATGAAGACGAAAGTTAGTAAATCTTCCTCAAATTGCTGGCAGAGGCTTTGAGGCCGTAACATTGATTCTCCCTCATTTATCGTTACCATGAAAGAATACCATGAGACTGTAGCGTGGTGTCGAGTCGCGGTTGACTATGAACACCGCTACAAAGAAACACGTGCCAAGTAGATCAGAAGGCGAAGGTCGAACGTAACCAAAGAAATCCATAAAATCCCCGAGAAGCCAAATGTCAGAAGACAGTTAATGGACCAAATCGAGATATATTCGCTGGCGATCTCGTGGCATCGAAAGGATACCGAGATCGTGCCAGGATACAAGCTTGGTTACAGAACGTAACCGAATTCGCGCGAAGTCACAATCAAAAGTGTAAGTAAAAGAATGGAAGCACAAAATAACTGTCATTAGCACAATCAAACAAAAGCACATTAAAACAAACACTGGTACAGTTGGTTATAATAATAATTGTTTTTATTAAACCAGTCGTGTTCTCGTGATAAATGTGAGTCACTACAAGACAAGTGGAAAGTGAGAATTCAGTTACTTCTTGGAGTAGGAAAGAATTTCCATTGCACAGCAGATAATAATTATGGATTATCAATATTGTGTTCTTTGGCCTTCTACTTTTCCACTTGGTATTGTTTACTTGGTGTTTAAGACTGTAATTGATCAGTCTCTCATTGGAATATGTACATACTGTGTGTATCGTCTTAAATCACAAGCACTATAAACAAAGATGGATAGTGGCTAACAATGGAATCCAAGACGCGCTTTTCGTCCTGTTTGAGACTCGTCAGTTGGATGTACCTGCACCTCAGAGTTGGTGTTCACTCCGGGATTCAAACCCAATAGCGTTCGCTTCAAACGCCATCTCGTTATCCACTTAGCTACAGAGTCCTGATAACCACTCGCTTGTGCAATGGTGTGAAGTTTAGATTCATTTGATATTGTTTACTTGAATCTTCTCATTGAAGTTTAGGACTGCAAGTGATCAGTCTCTTATTGGGATATGTGCATCCTGTGCTAACTACCTCGTTATTGACTTAATTCAGAAGTATTATATTCAAAGAAAGGACGAAACGCGCATCCTGGATTCCACTGCTAGTCACTATCCATCTTTGTATGTAAGCAGTTATATTATACACGAATATGATTTTTACAGTAAATATTGATTCTAGCAAATGCAAACAATGATTTGCTGATACCGTTCAAATTACTTTCTTGTAATCAACGGAAATTTATGGTTAAGTTTAAATTGTGACTTTAGAATTGTTATACTTATACATCACGCAAACTAAACTGTTATATCCTGACGAGAATAATAATGGTAACTGTTGGAAACCATTTCTGGAGTAATACTATACGTATATTCTTATTGTATAATTGCTAAATAGATACGTTATGCATATCTGTATTCTTCTCATTATAAGCTTTATTTTAACCCATAGACTATTATTATATCCTATACCATTTCTGAGTTATGCCCAGTCTATTAATTACAGTCTCCCACATCCATGGCCACTTTTGGCTAGATCTCCTACAAACGTTGTTTCCTATTTTATGGTACGATGTGATCTACTTGATTTGTATAGAAACCCAGTAAGTTTGAAATACACGATTCATATTGCGGGGGCTGAGATTGGTGTTCTGAACTCAACAGACAAGGCTAGGCAGGAAGAAGGAACGATAAAGACTCTAGGCTACTCGTACGAGTCTATGTGTCATTGATCCGGACGATAATTCACGGTTCTCTAATTAGCGGTATCATTACGTTATACATTGATAGGGCACGAGGCCACAAGTTATAACACAAACAAATTAGTAGTCATAATGTAGAATGATCTATTCAACTTGATCAGAATGAGTAGCTAAGCATAGCAAATATTGACTATTCTTCAATATCCAATATTTGTACATACACCAATGTAAAAGGTAGTAACCGATTTCTCAGTGAAATTCGCTTTTGTACATACAAATAAGAAAAACAGTACCAATCGATTCCCATAAGATTGTAGTGACTCACATTTATCACGAGAACACGACTGGTTTAATAAAAACAATTATTATTATAACCAACTGTACCAGTGTTTGTTTTAATGTGCTTTTGTTTGATTGTGCTAATGACAGTTATTTTGTGCTTCCATTCTTTTACTTACACTTTTGATTGTGACTTCGCGCGAATTCGGTTACGTTCTGTAACCAAGCTTGTATCCTGGCACGATCTCGGTATCCTTTCGATGCCACGAGATCGCCA